TGAAGGATGCTAAATATTTAGTCGGGTGCAGAAGTACAGAAAGCAGACCCCTGTCTTTACATCTCTGTTCTGGTTCGGATCGAATGCCAGTCGTTCGCCTTCGCTGTACACCAGGGAGTGAACGCAAAGACGAACTACGAACGCAGTGAAACATTTTTCAGAACGAAGCAAGACGGATGTCTGCCACAGAATAATTTATTTCCGAAATGGAAGTACACTTAAAAGACGTACTCTTACAGTGCTCGTTTCGGTTCAGGGTCTACAGATATTTGTTCGATTAAAAACTACAAACAAAGGCCGAGAAAGGCTTTGAATCCTGAAGGGATTGTACTCAGGCACACCACTTCCACGAGACCCCCCTCCCCCCGAAACAGGGAAGCCTTAAAAATGTCACGAGGGTTGTAGGAGCTGGCCTATGGTGTGTTTTTTAAACTGTGGGTCGTGGAACACTGGAGGATGGGAGAACAGACGAAAAATTTTATGTTAAATGTAAGTTGTGAAAACGTGTGAGGTCACAGTAATCCTTGCTCAGTTTCGAAGGTACTATCGTAAACGGTAGGAATAATTGTTTTTGGGTTATTTCGTAAGAAAGTACGCGATTTTCCTCAGCACGGAATACCACAGAAGTAGAATGGAGATGCGCTTCGCTCGTAGCTACGATTACTACCATTTGACGAAAACGAACCAGAGAAAAGTAGATCTGTGGTCCCTGACGGCTTGTTCGTCTGCATACATTTCTATCAGCACTTGCTCCTGGAACGAAACATCCGGGAAGCGAAGTGTTGATGAAAGAGCGAGTGAAAAATGGAGGTGGAGAAGGCAAAAGGTAAGACGTAAATGTTTAAACCAGTTTATCTGCCAGAGAAGTTTGACGGAAACATTGATTCTCGTCTTAAATGACTATGACGTTTCCTTCGAAATTCGTAGCTTTTGAGGATGATTGTGACGCCACGCAAGTTTCTGCAATTTACGACACGGAGAAGTGGTTACAGACTTGAGTATGGTTTTTGTAATCAGTGTGCTGGCTAGCAAGATCGCTCCCTCCAAAAATATTTATTGTTTCTCGTAAGTAACAAGTCGTTAAACCGGATTAGTGCTGTATTATCTAAACCATTACTTCTCAACTTCCCCTTATTTTAACTTACCAGACTTGAAAGAATTACGTCTCATAAGAACGCAGTCAGTGAAGAGAATGGAGAATTTTCTCTGTTTTGTTCAGGATTGTTCTAGGTGCTGTGATAGTCTCCTTTCCACCGAGTACCATCAGCTCTTTGCCCTGGTATAAAGGCGGCCGCAGCTTGTCTGACCACACCCACCTCGTGACGAACTTATGCTTTGAAGTTATTT